GTGCAGTTATCATTCCTGCCTCCTTCTTACACGTTTCCTGGAATAGTCCTTCAGGTTACCCGCGGGTGCCTGAACAGCTCAAATGCAACTAGCTTTCAACAACACTTTCACCTCAAGTTTGAAAGCAACAAGTCCCATAAAATACCTCCATCGTGCAGGGACGGTCCTCATCTGCCAGTGAATTCTCACACCCATGCAATCCAGTGAGGAAACAGGCCACTCCAACGTAAGGTGGGCGTATCAGAAAAGTTACTTAATTTACCAGGTACTCCGCAGGAAAGCTTATGTAAAAGCTATGGAGGAACTAAAGTCCTTGTTAAGCTGAGAAGCACATCACAACATCTCAGGCAGAAGCCTTCCCCAGGATGTGTGAAATAGATGATTCAACCATTTTAAATTCCTTGTATTAGTCATGTGACTGCAACACATGCCCTCTCCTCTAACAACAACAACAGGTACCTTTCACAATCCTAACGAACAACACGTGTACCATATATTACTTACAGAGTCACGGCTCAGCCCAAGTGTGCTGTCATAGGGCAACCTTTCGGTTTCACTCATTTGCAATCATCATGAACTTCAGAACAACCGTGTTTACGTGCCCATGGCACGCAGAGCCTGTGCTGCTCTCCCTGGCCATCCCTGTATCTCAGCTTTAATAAAATTCCACCTCAGGAGGACAACACATACACAGCACACTGCAGGCGCACTTGTCAGAACTTCATTTTTACTGCGGTGAACAATTCCCTACTCAAGGGGGATATTCCCTGACAGGCAAGTCTGACCACCCCTTACAGGGACCCCTCCAGAAATCTGCCATCTCTGTTAAGAGGCAATATAACAGGTTTATATAACTCTGTGCTACAGGACAGATGCGGTGCGTGCCACTCACGTGACTAACTTCAGGCATACAGAATCATCTCCCATTTTCCTAAGGATGGCTTTTAGTCCACATATTGCTGTGGCCCATGTCTCACTTTTGTCACATCTGTCAGATCACTGTTAAAAACATATCTTACATAATCTCACAACATAAAATATGGTTTGTAATAATGAAAATGCTAAGAATTCCAATAAAAAGGCAAGTAGATACCCGCACAAAAGAACAGCCAAGTCAAGCACGGGGATCTTACTACTTAGAAATTCTTATCAGGGATTACTTGTTTTCAAACTTTCTGGTTAGTATATGTTAGAACGTTGTAATATAGACATATTCACATGTGACTGTGTAGGCAACTTTAATACAAACGAAAAACATACAGAAACATCAAATATAAAAGAGAAACACATGGAACATAAGCATTCGTTGGCTTTTGGTTATATGCCTTCAATATCTAGCTGCTTGGGAAAAAATAGACCCCTTTCAGCTAACTTTTCAGTGAAATATAGGCTGACTTTTGAGCTTAGTTAAAACAATTCATGTAGACTAAAGTGCCATGAAACATGTTGGCATTCTGTAGTCTAGCCATTTGAATCCTAATTCTGTTTCCAGCCCTGTAACCATCAAAGAGCAAATGCTAATTTCTCAATTCAATTTTTTTTTTTTTATCAAGCGTAATCAGGAAAATATTACCAATACCACTAGGACAGGGTTATATTAATTTCTCTCCAAAACAAAACCAATATCAATACATTAAAAAAACCCCAACACCCCCCCATGCTTAAGTTTTAATCTCCTATTTTTGTGGGTATTTCTTTGCTAACATTAATCTCCTTCAGTACATTCCATCAACCATTTCAGAATCACTGAAATTAGGGATGGAATAGGAACAGTAGTGCATCACATGTATATTGATGTGAGCAATACTGATATGGACTTATGGAGGCACATTCACACAAGGCCATTTTCAGTATTTAAGTGCCTCGACATTCTATATAACAAATGAAAAAGTTTTCTCAAGAGAAATGCTGTAAATCCCCGTTAGATTTTCCAGTGACTACACTGAAAGGCCAGGTACATTCATTTTAGATTACAATGTCAATATCTCTAAAATGACAAGTTCATTGATTGCAGTATCAGATCCTTCTAATTCCAGGTTCTGTCCTTCAGTCCACACTGTGGTATTTTGTTTGTGCGTTACGTGCAACAGCATGCACACAAACATTTCAGATTCCCAAGGGGACACCGCAGAGCAGCTTTGTCCTGAAGGTATGTGGAAATAAAGCTAGAGTGAAGAAGCAAAACATTATGATTTCTTACCATTTGGTACTTGTTCCTGGCCATGTAACCTCTTAAGAGAGCCTGAAGAGCAATAGTAGCAGCTCGCATGCATTGGTATCTTTTGCGGACCACATACATGCGCTGGAACTTCTGAATAATGATGGCAGCCCGTGTTCTCCGCAGGAACGTGGCATAGCTAAGCAGGAAAAAAGTTACAAATAATACCTGTAATTATTTTCCAGTGCTTGAATACTACTTTTTTTACATCCTATAACTTTACCCTCTTTCTCAAGAGCTACATTTTCTACTTCTGTTTCTTCCTAATGTTGTCAGTGATAAAGCATATTTACTTGCTATTCTACCAAATGGCAGTACAACAGAACAACAAATTAACAGAAACCTTGCTAGGTTTTACAGGGAAATGTTTTCACTTCCTCTGAGAACTGTGCTATAGAACTGACAAGATAAACTCAGCTTAATTTCTCATCACCTTTTCTCCACCTTTGAAGCTATTTCCACTATGCCACCTTCCAGATCTCCTAGCCTCAACCTGTAAAAAGTTTGCTCTTTCTTGGCCCTCTCAGCAAGACAACTACGAAGCATCTTGACACAGTCAAGTCTTTATAACCACCTTGTCTCCGAACGATGCCATGTGTACTCCTACCCTTTTCTCTGGCCCATCCATGGCCATCCCACAGAAGTCAATCCAAACAAATGACTCTGACTGACTTATCTCCCTTCACAGCTGCACCAGGGGTGACGAATGGCTTCTCCAGCAGGACAGACAGACCCAGCTGGGAGGGCACATGGAAACCGGGCAATAAGGACTCAGCCAAGAGTCCTGCTTTACCTCACCTGCAACATATCTCCTAGTACTACTTGTACTCTTCTCCCACTAATGACACATTGTTCTAAGCATCATACAGCCAGGGTACTACTGGCCTCTCAGGAAGGTCAAAAACAGGCAGGACAGACACACTCACTATATTCAATTTCCTTCACTTCCCTGGAAAATCGTTTCCTCTCAGCCAGTATAGGAAGGAGAGAACAAATGTATCACATTTAAATGTCCTACTTAAAGCGATCTGAATTGAGGCTAGTGTGGGTTTTCCCACGAGCATTGCTTACCATCGTGCTTGGTAGCCTCTGACATATCTCTGAATGGTGATGGCAGCCTTCCTCATACGCACGTACTTCTTTCGCATCAGCCACCCTCGGATCGTCTTTTGGATGCGGATACAGGCAGCTCTCAACTTATCTGCCCTTATTTTTTCCAGATAGGCTACTTGACCAGCACGGAAAAATATTTTTGTCTTGCCAAACTGGTACTTATCCTTGTCCTATTTTCAGAGGTAAAAAGAGGATCAGTTACAGCATAAATGTTAGTGGATTAAAAAAAGCCATGAAGGACTAAATGAAAGTACAGTTAGTAAAGAAGCAAAATTATCTGTGTAATATTTCAAGTAAACCTAGACTTAATTTAAGTAGTGGAGGAGAGTATTTTCTCTGTATGATTCTGTTAACAAATTAATACAATAAGGCCACAACCACGGGTTAAAGGAATAACATGAGATTTTTGCTTAGACAAGAATGCCACAAAGATTATAAGAGACGTGGAAGGCTACAGGAGGTGACGAAGGGGCCCAGAGGATGAAAGCAATACAGGCAATGTACATGTACAGTTTCCTGCTTAAATTGTAGATGACCCCTCTGAATGCTCCATCTTCAACCATATTACACAGCACAAACAAAACAGCTGGGGCTTCAAACATGTACGCATCGTTTGCTACATCAGGACTAAGCCAGAACAAAGCATCTCGCTGCTGCTCAAACACGTCTGAAATTTCAGAACTAAAACAGAAAGAGAGTAATATTCTATCTCTATAGGCTGTAGTACTCCTTGGAGGGAAAAACTGAGAATGTACAAAGGTACATTGAAAAAAATTAATTTTGTTGATTGTTTGATGTTAAGTTAAAAGGAACAGAAATCAGAGCTACAGCTTACGATACATTTAACACTATAAATACAAACACATGCCTATAAACCAAAAGATTTTAGTTAAGTCCAGCCAATGACACAGAAGTTAAAAAGCCAAGCCCCAACCTGCCTGCACAGTACTTCTTTTTTTGTTTCCATAAACATCCTAACATTGGCATCGCACTTCAGCAAAGTAAGCTTTCTTGCTTTTATATCTTCAGTAAACTTTGTCTCTTTCTCTTCCTAACTGATACTTCCGAGTAAGTCTCAATTAACCACCTTCTACTGAGAACTGGTTGGAACTGTCTCTTTGGAGCCTGCCTGCCCTCCGCTGTTCATCGGTCCTTAAGAGATCCCAAGAAACACATCAGTTCAGGTGCAACACCAGTGGTGTGGATGGCATAGCCTAGGAATGTAGGGCTGCAGCTGGAGGTAGGAGGCAAAGCAAGAGGCTGCTGAAGCATGAGGACAGCCACAGTCCTAAGCAGGGAGACAATGTCATGAGGAGGATGAAAGGAGTGAAAAAGGTTGACTTCAGCATAGGAGCTGAGAGGAGCAGTGTGAAAGAGACAAACACATATGCAGACAGAAACACCTCCACATTACTTAAGGTGTCGATAACTATACCTTACTTAAGGTGTGGTTAATGCATCTCACCGTTAAGCAAGGTAAGGCTCACCCTCAACTGACCCACACTTAAAATCACTGTCTTCCTTTGCTGTGATACACTGGGCAATTCTACAGCTCCTGTGCCAATATTGGTGGTATAGCACTTTGTAGAAGTACTAAAATAGCCTGGCTGTGAGGGAGTAAAGGACGCTATCTTTACTCCTTCCGATTTCAAATGCTCTCAACACTAAGTCTAGTACCAGAATCAGCTTCTCCAGGACATTTTTACATGTCTGCTTTCGGTCACTAAGGACATCTCTCTGCTTCATCAGAACACGGTAACGGCTGAAGAACTCTTGGTACGTCCACCTGTCCCAAAAACAGAGACAGCGTCAGTCCCAACAATGAATAATTCTCTTAAAAAGAAGAACTGCAGCTGAAAGCAATCTAAAAAGCAGCAAACACACCTGGAGGGGAAGCCAGCTGCACTGATTCGGATGGTCTCCAGGACACCACAAGCTCTCAGCTGCTGCACTGCCCGCTTTTCATCAAATCTACGTAGGAATAAAAAGAGCCGGTGGGTGTGAGGCTAGTTTTGCATTACATGGGACCTCTGGCCCGGCGCACACCCAGGACGGGAGTGGCAGAGAGGGGGAGCAGGGGTGGGATGTGATGGGTGGTTAACAAGTCCATCTTTCTTCTGCAACTCAGCGATAACAGAGGACCAGGGAATTGCCCGAGCCCGTCGGCTGCTGCAAGCTGCTCATCCTGTCCTGCTTCCTGCTGGCCTGCCCAATAGCCATGGGAGTCTTTGTGTGCCTGGATTTTAAGCAGACTTTTGAGAAAAGCTCTAAGCAAGTTCATATATGAAAAAAAGACAAGGAATAAGACATTGGAATCTGCAAAAGCAAATTCCAGAAAATGTCAAATGAACTCAAGGAGTGCAAACTGCCAGTCACATTTAAAACAGCTAGCAATGAAAATGATGGTATTTTTTCTCATATATCACCATAAACAAAAAAAAAAGCATCAGGAAGTATTTCTCCCTCTGTTCATCCCAAAACATCTCCTGCTCTAAGTACACGTGCACATGCACAACGAGTCTGTAACAAGAGAAAGGAGACACACCACTCCACTCCTGAGCGAGCGAGCAGAACCTCAATCCTCCGAGGCCTTGGGCAATTCCCTCCCATGTACAGGCTACACAAACCATACATGAACCAGCTTACGTGAACGGAAACTTGAAGTCATTAGGCTTAATACAGCGCACGTAGTGTGGAGTTGTAGCGTTCAGGGTTTCCATCAGCAGATGAAGAGAGTTTCGAAACTTTTTGAAAAAGAAAAAGGGAAAAATATCAGGGAATAGCCTCAATAAGCTCAGTCATATTTGAGATAACTTCAGAAAGTGGACCCAGGGATATTTGCTTATTTTTAATAACGCTTTTGGTAATAAACACCAGTTTGGTTTTGGTATGGCAATAGATTTTACTTTTGGATACCATCTTTGGGTGAATTATGCTACCATGAGACTTCTAAATGTTAGGTTTTACAGGAGGGAAGCTCCCATATCAACATGTGATAAATTACAAAAACATGGGATAGACTGAGTTATTTTCAGCTTCTGACTATCTCATCTACCCTAATCTTTGTCTAATCTATCTCTTCATGACTAAACCTCACGGCATATTACTAAATAGCCATTTAATTTTAAATAAATTTTAAATCAAATTTAAAATCAAGAGAGTGGTAAAAAAAAATATCAATTTCTTCAGCTCCACTGATCCCAATGTCAGACCTACTGAAGAGAACTTTGGAAGTCCAATGTCCAAGAGTTTTACGAACTTTACTTTTAAAGAAGTATCAGGACCACAAATACCTAACATACTGCAGTATATCCTTCTAACCATAGAATACCCTAATAGATAAAGAACACTATGAAAACACATCTTAGATGTTTTAAACGTATTGGTATGGATTTCCCTCTTCCTGTTGAACTCATGATTCTAACACAACCTCTATTTCTACACAGAATATGATAAAAATCACTTTTGTATTAGCTTTCTTTAACATGTATAAATTAATATGCATGGCTGATTGACAGGAGTAGTATGAGAGTACCCCTAACACATCAACTCATAGTTTCAGTCTGACAACAAAACTGTTAGGCCTCCACCAGCCCCAGGATACTGTCTGTTTGCAAAATCAGAAATTAAGATGATATTAAAAAGATAACTGGGCAGGGGTTCTCTTGCATGAATTGCAGAAGATTGGAATTTGCAGCCTGTACCATGAATGCAAGCCAAGCAGATTTGTGTTCTGTACAGTAGCATGAATGGCCATTCCTATTCCCACCCATAGCTTGACATAACTTGCTTGGGAAAGGTTATAGAGAAATTATGAATATCCAAATCAAACATTCTCTGAATTCCTTGATTCTCACTTAGCAGTGTGACTAGCGCATGACACTGCACAGACACTGTGCTAACATCTTAGTTAGGGAATTGACAACCATCCAAGGCAGTGGACAAAGCCCAGGCACTTTTGGTGATTTTATCAGAACTCGGAGCACCCAAGAGATGTGGCTGGTTCATCTTCAAGAATTGGCAGGGGCCCTGATACACAGAACTTAAGCTCCCTGAGAGCTAATTTATATTCCAGGCTGTCCTACAGTAACATAAAAAGAGTTATCCGCACAGACCTCCTGGAAGCCCCAGGCAAAAGAAGAATGCCACCACTCACTAGCAAAGCAGTACAGGCTGGCAAGTAGATAAAAACTGAGTACTAAACTGTCAAAAAAGTTCCCCTGGGCTCCTACGTATAATCCAAGGGACAATCTGTCATATATAAAGCACTGACTGGGGACATAATCATCTTGAGAAAACACCTGTTAAATCTGTTGAGTGGAAAGTAACAAAGTGAGTTCTCCAGCCATACTGATCTGCATATTTTTAATTAACTCTGGCACATACAGATGGGTATTTTATGTTTAGCTCATTGATAACTGGAACCAAGTTTTCTGGGAACTGAACTCCCACTTTTGATTTGAGTCAGACAATGTGGCACATGATCAAACAGACCCAGTATAACATGTTCAAAGCTTCTCAGCATCCAGCATGTTAAATATATTTTGAAAAACATGAGTTTTTGTTTTGGCACCACAATAAGAACTGAGCTCCCTGAAACTGTGGCCCAAAATGTAGTTAGGGTATATCTGCTCCAAACTGTAAGTCATAATCAGCTGGACCTGTCTCAAAATCACAAGGGGTCCCAAGAAGCACCAGCACACCTTGAGACCTATGAGACAGAGGGAGGTAGAGATTTTTTAATAGAGCTGCATCTTCACACTCACCTGATGGCCCACAGTTTTCTTATGCTCCTTGCTGGCTTGACCTGGTCTGGCCTTGGCTGGTTTTACAGCCGTTCGAGACAAAGGCATGCGCCCTGAGGGGGTTGCTGATGTGGGACTGAGGATCTTCTCCTCATCCTGGAATAACTCTGGTAGCAGCTTAAACTGGTGTAACAGCAGAAAAAATACAGAGGGTAAGAATCCAGCAAGTGACTGCACCCGTTTGTGCTTAAGGTAGAATTCAGGCTCGGTTTCTGTAAGCACTGGGTTTTTGTTGAACTCTACACGGGGACAAATGCAAAAAAGCATTCAAGCTAGTAGTATAGTAAATGGGCCATGATTTAATACTAAATATTTTTGTGGGTTTGATCAGTGAGTCTCCTTCTGAAGATAAAATTCTGATTTGAGGGTTTTTTCATAAAGCCAGGAACAGCTTCCATGTGAAACTGTTAGATACTGACAGCAGCTTCATAAGTACCCATTGCAATTATGTATGGCTGCTTTGATCTAAGAAGGAAACAGGGTCCTCTCATATTCCAGTGGTGCATCAGACTCCTTTGTGGTTGAGAAATATCTAGGACACTGAATAACCCAGCAGGCAACAAACAATATTCCTGCTTTATCACGCTAAATTGAAATAATCAACTTAAAAGAGGAACATCAACTAAAAAAAACCCATTAGCCAAATATATCCGACTGCAGATCTACTCTCAGGCCAGTGGGAGTGGAGGAAAAACCTGAAACATCGTTCTAAATATCACACAGGGCTTCCAGTTCCCTTTCTCTAATGGCTACAAAATACACCCATAAATAATAGCTGCTTTGAAGTAACTTGTAACTAAAAATAACACCACCAGGTCTTTCTACTGACAACCATAGCACTTCAGAAGCATTGTAAGAGCAAGAAAATCTGAACTTCTCTACCTGTCAATGAATAATCTTTTATCTAGCATCTGTGCATTTTCTCCCAAGAGATAGGAGCATTCAATTTTCAGTACTAGAAAGTGCTTGGGCTAAGTACAACCTAAAAAATAAAAAAATTGGGTTTGCCTTATAAAACTTGGTGAGCATGCATGATATCCAATGAAACATGCTGCTGAACAAAATGGTACTTGTGCTCTGTGGTTGTGCCAGACGGGCTAGCAGAAGGCATCAAACGTTCCTCAGTAGCATCCAGCACAGCACTCCAGCATAATACAATGACTATGAATGCTACAAAGGTATCCTAAATTCCTGAGCCAGAAAAGGAGTATCACAGCTTAGCTTTATCTCACCTGAGTCTGCCGGATTCACCTTAGATTACCTCTGTAGCTGGTGGAAGAATGAAATTTCCAGAGGGTGATTTAGCCTGTCTCCTTCCACTGACACAACAAAGAGTTCAGGACGATTGGGCTACCACCACCTCATTCACCTGCCCACGGTCAGATGGAGTGGGTCGGTATGCACAGGCATCTGAGCTACAGAGCCAAGTCTTTTCATCTCATGCAGAAAATTATTTGAATGCAATATGCTTTGTCTGAAACTCCTGATGTTCTGACACACCAGGGGTGGGGGTGGGAACAGGGTCCCCAGTGTCTGAATTGCAGATGGATGAGCTCTTCTAAGCTGTTGGTACATAAGTCTCATTCCCTTTTTCCAGCCCTGGGAAAATCTGCCTGTAAAAATGGGCAAGTGCTTTTCAAAGGTGCCATTTTCATAGACGCTGCCTCAGTTACTGCATGCAGAAGAAGGGAGCAATGTATGGCCTTCTGCAGCAGAGGTCAACAACGGGAGAGCATTTGCTGAGATGATCCACACTGTGGGGGCATTCATGTTTTTGTCTGGCTTTGGTTTTCCATACCTTATCAATTTTCTTTGTTTTGCAGAACACTAGGAGTGTTCAAAGAGAGGGAAAACACTGATCAAAGGGCAGATAATTCACGTGGTAGAAAACAAGCAAGCAAGTATTTTTTCCCTGTAATTTTTTCAGACAACTTAACAGACATGCTGCTAACAGTCTTATAGATCACTTATTTCAATACAGAGCCACAACAGAAGATTTTAACAACATGCCAGTAGCAAGCATAAAGGCTGAGGACTGTTGTATTGCTTTCATGACACATGCATGGAAACCGAACTAGTTCAAAGAGGTCCTGTGGGTAGATTTACAAAGAAGGCCAAAATAAATAGCTAAACACTACAGTGCCTGCCAAAAGCAGTGTGTCATGCACTTCGGAGAGCAAAGAAGCATTCGAGCTGTGTGTGACAGTGGGCATGGGCAGGATGACAGATGATGCATTCAATTTAGAATTACCTTCTGTTGAATGTGCACAGCAAACCCAGAAAACAGCAACAACCAAAAAAAAAAAAAAAAATCAGAAATGCAATCCCACTACAATTACTAATAAAGAGGGCCTGCTGAAAAATAAAAATGAAACATTCTTCTTTTGAAAAGCTATTTTTTCACAGTTTAATTTTTTTTTTTTTTTAAACCACCGGTTTTGGTAAAATTTACCATTGGGGAAAACCATGTTGTTTCTTAGTGTTTAGACTGAGTTGACTCAACCTACTGAGCCTGCCCAAGATGTTGTCATGCTCTTAGGGCAGCTAAGTCCCCACTGTCCCTTACTGACAGGACTACATCCCTCGGAGCACCCCTGCACCTCCCCCCTGCCCAGCGCACTGCCATGCTGTGGCAGTGCTGGAGCTACAGAGGTGGCTGGTCCCTGCCAGCTCCCCGAGGATGCCACCTGCCTCCCATGCACAGCAATTGACTTCACTCAAACCACTTCAACACTCCTCTCAGCAGAAAGCCTGCTGTGGTTTTTCATTAGACTACATGTTTAGCTTCATGTATCTGCTCAGAATAGAAACAGAAGAGAAAAATGTTGGTTTTCCTGATAGAATAGCATAATTTTAAATAGCCTGTCCTTGATACCCAGCTTCCTGAGCCATTAGAGCTAGCAAATTCCCAACAGCGATCACAGCGCAATGTCAAGTTAATTGCCTTTACATTTCAGAAGAGCACAACTAGCATTGTTGCCATTAAAAAAAGCAGACGATGCCACCGAAGGCCTGTCCTATAATATTCCTTCACACAGTATTTTTCAATTTCGATGTTGTCTTTCTTTCATAGATATCAAGAAGGCAACACTGTAAATTCTGGTTCGTGTCCTTAGGGTCTATACATTTCATTCCTCTCTCATTTTGCTTCTGGAACAGAACTTGTCTCTCCTCTAGAAATTTTCTCCTCAATTGTCAAGCCATAAACAAGGAGCTTCTGTTTTCAGATTATAAAATTAAGGGCTTAACTGCTAAGCCTTCTTATACTACCATAGTATATTAGAAGTCCTTGATGCCTTTGCAGAAAATATAGCAAAGTTCTGTGAAAAGTAAAAAAAAAAACAAACCCAACCCCAACAAAAAGAACAAACAGTGAAATCAGTGGCTAAATAGACTTATCTTACATGGAGCAAAATTAGGCTACAGGATTTTCTAAATTAATACAGATAGCCAAGTAAAACATAAACTATGTTCAATTTCAGTTAATCTGATACTAAGGGAGAAGTATTTCCTAGGTTTATAAGAAATTTTATATGACCCTTAATGCAAGGATTCAAAACTGCAAAAGAAGAAAAAAAATCCTTATACTAACCTTACTTGATTTTAGGACCTTAATTTGTTCTTCATAAACTGTGTCTTTATTCTTTTCCAAAAAGCCTTCACATTGATATTCCACCTGAAAACCATAATTTCACAAAAAAGTAAGTATTAAAAGTATTAATAAGAATATTTTGCGTAGAATTCACCTTCTGTAACATTCACATTTAAAACAGGTAATTCTTGTGGATGTTGAAAATATCAGCTCCCGAGCGCATCTTTGTTAAATACAGATTTTCCTCAAAGAGAGTGCTTTCCAGTAAAACATAAACCATTATAAACATACAGAGATGAATACTGTTATTGCATTACATCAGATATATTTCACTGCTGAGAGACGCTTGTGGTAAACCAGCATGATTGAATGGTTACTGTAAAGGTGAAGAATCAAAATGTGTGTGGAGCATCTCCTTCACTGAAGTTATCAGGGCTGCAAAATTGTGTGAAATCCAGATGCAACTGAGAACAAACTGTCTCATCTCACCTCTTTAGCTGAGAGACAACTAGATCTGCCTGCAGCTTATTATGAAAATGCGTCATTTGTACTCAGAAAGACTATCTTTATCAGAAGGAACAAAAAGCCTGAATGTTGTGACAATACATAACAATCCTCTATCACAGGGCCACGGAGTCTCCTGGACTAAAGAACAACCAGAGCGTCAGATAAAAAGCTAGTATTTATTTCACTGTCCTAATTCAAGGCTGAACAAAAGCCAAAAACTATTGTCAAAAGTCTATACTTTAGAATTCAGTATTAACATCAGTATGTTAACTCTCACAAAGTGTCTCACAGTAACTCTTCAATCTTGTATCAGGAGAAGTGCAGACTATACAATAGAAGAGCAGACCCTTATAGCAATTTTATTTTTTCAGAGCAGACAGACTGATAGCCATCAGCAGCCCCTCTTTCAGTACAGCCATTTATCAGTGCTTACACAACGACACTATACCCCGAGCTGCCAAACATTTCAAAAAATTCTGAGGGGGGAAGAAGGCACAGGATCTCCCCAAAGTCCCTCCACGGCTGAAAGCCCACTCTGAACATTACCTCGGGTACCATTAATGTTCTTACCACGGGAGACAATGCCACGAGAGGGCAGCAGAATCTCTGCCTTCTCCCAGAGAATAACACGTCAAGGCACAGAGGTTACTAACCTGCCAGCTACAGCTTTATTTTTTTCCTTCAAGATGTCTGTATGCATTCACCTAAGCACACAGGAAAGCATAAAATGCTTAGCACAGACAGCGCATCAGAGCTTAGAGCTTTGCCAACACCTGCTTGGAGCTACTTTTAGCTTTCCTTGGCCCTCACTGCTCAGACCAGGCATAAGAAAGCCTTGCTTTCAAAGAGCAAAATTTAGCCTAATGAACAGTATATGAAATATTAATTAAATCCTTCTTGTTCTCTCATCCACCAAATAAAACACAACTCATGAATCTTAAGAGTTATAGAGATGTTCTTGCTGCTTTCATTAAGGTAACGCTGAAGGCAACAAGAACAGGACCCCTCCTTCTACGCATAAATCCAAGAACCCAGGAGTGAAGGCAACTAAAGGCCTCCAACCCCAATGTCAGCACATACAGACGTACTGATAAGAACCCCAGAGCTTCTCCAAATTTTTTTCGACAAAGCTGACAATAATCTGAGGCAGCTTCTTTGTTTAACAGGACAATTCTCTTAAACAGAATTTTTAAACTTTTTATTTTATTTTAACCTGAGGAGTTGCTCAGTTTGATGATGCATTGTGAGAGCAGAACAACGCATGCACTCCACCGCGATGCCCCTCGTCCAGCTTCCTAGAAATAGCTGTTCACTGACCAGCAGAGGCGAGGGTGGGAGCAGTGCATGCTGCTCCGGCAATAAGAAGAATGGTGTGTGAGCCTCTTTCCTGTTCGCACATTAAGATGGCAGCAAAACCAACAGCATTTTGGTTTTGTTCTTTAGCTAAAATGACAGTGAGATATAGGATTTTCTATTTTGTGCATTTCTATAGCATAACTGGAATTGATGCAATTATGCTGCGAATTGCAAATACACTAAGCTGTCATGTTTTGAAAAAGGATGGTTAGTGGTTACAGCATGTGACAGGAGTCAGGGGCTCTTGTTTGTGTTCCTGGATCTGCACAGCTGACTGGTCAACTTCCTTCTCCTGATCCAGTGTACAGGCAGGCACACATTTTGCAAGAAGCAGAGTAGAGCCAGGGATGCCGCTGCCCAGTCACTGCCTGCAACAACTGCCCACCCCAAGATCCCCTCCCATGCACACGCTCAGCAACACCAGCCATGGAAAGAGGTACTGGAGGAAAAGTCGTTACCTTGTCAGCAAAGTGCTTGATGATAAAAGCCTTATTCGACAAACGTGGTTTTTCAAAGAGGGCACATTTATTCAAATGAGTATTGTACAGTTTTTGGGCCCAAGTGTCATCCGAGCCTTTTGGCATCTACGGAAGAGAACAGACAGCCATTTAAAACATCTTGAAAACTTTTCAGTAGCAAAAGAAACTAAGAAGATGGGGGACAACACTTTGCGGTTCACTTTCAAATGCCAACTCCTCGGATTTCCAGCACTGCCATAAGCAAGGAAGCTGGCAACCAGCTATGCACTTGCCTTTCTAATAGACTGGGTGCAGCCCAGCAGTAGGTGTAGCCGCTACGTGACACATACGACGCTAGTAACGCTTCCAGTATCACACACCTAGAGGCGGGGATCCAAGAGGTACGTTATCTGACTGAGCAACATCTCCCTGGGTCAGAACTCATCCAGCATCATTAGAAATTGCTTGTGATGCTTTGTGATACACAAAAACCCCAAGCTGGGCTTCCGCTGAAGTAGACAGCACACACCAACCCCTGTACATGGCTTGGCATAAATTAAACCAAGCTAAAAGACTAAAGGTGAGACAACAAGCGAGGGGCAATTTGGAGAAATCCGACAGGACCAAAGACTGGACTTGCTACACTTGGGAAAGAGAAAGTTGCCAGAGCTGAAACAGAGGTTGATCAGAAACCCAGAAACAGATACAGACACATGATGGAGAAGAGGGAAAAAAAAGCCTGACTAAAACCGTCTTTTCTCCTCTTGTAATTGCCAATTCTGTTTGTACGTTCTCCAAATCCTTTCAACAGCAGAGTGTCAAAATGATGGCTCTACATGGATGACTTTTCCCTGTGAGACCCCAGAAGCAGGATGGCTGATGACCTCTTTCTCTATGAAAACCCTTGAACACACACCTTGCACTCCTCATCCAACAGATCCAGAATTCCCATTTTGGCCTCTATGAGGTTGATGCAAGGCTGATTGTCGTAGAAATCAATCAAGGTCCATGGTATTTGTTCCTTCATATATTCTTCTTGTTCCAGCTTAAAGACATGCTACAGGGCAAAAGGAAGACAGTTTTCTGTGAAATAAAATGCAGAATAAATACATCGAATTCTCACTTGAATTCATCTTGGCACATTAATCCAGGCTGTCAAGTGACACACTACTTCAGCTGAATAAACCCTTTAACAAGTAAGTGTATGAAAAATAAATTAACCTTTTTTCCTGGCCTAAAAGCAACGGACTAAATTAAAGCACTCATCCATATTCTCTGCAAATAAGGTCTATTTTTTCCTATCTTTTTACTGTATTGTCCCACAATCACTATAAGCTCTTTTCTCTTAGAAAAAAACAACACAAAACCCAGAAAAAGCCTCAAGTGCAGGAACAGCACTTATAAAGTGGGATGTGCCACGCATTTATGACTTTGAAGTTATGAATACTGCTCTATTTCAAGTAAAATTTCACTATAAATACTTTTGCATTTCCTTGTAAAAGAACAGAGCTCCATTTTCTCTTAAATGGCTGCTGATTTTTTCCCAGGATGACGCATTGCATTGAAATACACTCTTCAAAAACCTGGAAGAATGACTCTAGGGGTATTATCACAAGGAATCCTTTAAGGAAAATTTTGGGAAAAATTTATCTGATACGAAGATCAGTAACAATGTAGCTGTATATTTTTTCAAAAATATTATCACAAAAAACCTGCACAGCTTTAATGAAGTGTGCATAGGAGATGAATTAAAACTTCAGGAAAAAAAGATAATAAGATATTAAACAGGCAAACTGTGGTCTTAATAGCACAAGCACTCTTTTTAAAAACAAAAAGACTGCTGACTCCAGTTATTTTAAATGACGTTTTATCTCCCATTTCAATTGTAATGCATACTAACTGCTCTGGCAGGCAGAACCGAACTCAGCGCGTACCCTAACAAGCAGCAAAGAGCAGCGCTGTGGGCAGGGTTTGGGGGGCCACCACAAACACCTGCATTCGTGGAGCCGGCCTCAGCTGCCCCGAGCTCAGTGCACAAGCCCACAAACGCCTCGCAGCTCTCTGGCACGCATCTGCCAGACAGCAGAAAACCACCCTGAGAAAGCGGTTTATGCCTTTTATTCCATTAGCTTAACGCCATCCTTTCCAAAGCAGCGCTCTTTAACAGAGCCCGCGGGAGCCATTCCCACCCCACTGCTTAACGGCTGCGTTACATGCAGAGTTAATTCCTGACAGGAAAGCCAATGGTAGCATTTTATTGGCGGGGCGTATCCAACCTAAGTCCTGAAAGAAAACATAAAACCGTTTCTCCACTGTAAAGGAATTAGCAATTAGGTGGTGACAGATGCCATCAGACCTCATTCTCCTTATGGGCTGTGGGTGGCGAGGCAGGGGAACGGTGGCCAGGGAGGCAGGTCAGGCTGTGGAGATGCATGTGGCAGCCAGGCAGTCCCCGAGTGGCTAGCCCTCAGCTGGGCTCGGGCCACCCCGGGTGGCATGTGAAGGCTTGCTGGCTGCTGCCATAGACACAGGGCTTTAATTTAAAACAACTCTGTGTACCTGCATGGCAGCCCAACGGGTCCGTGTCCACCGGCGCTGGGTTTGGTAGCTTGGTGGGGCATCAACACAAAAGCCCAGCCGCCCTGTCCTTCGTGAGATGAGTGCTTACAGCAACAGTGTGAGAGGGACAGGAACATGGGGATGGTGATCTTTAGTAAAGAAGCGAACCCTTACAATTCTTACAGTAAGTAGATTTTTGCTGTAGAGCTGAGAAAACTCCGAGATACCTTGCGCTTAGCAGTTATGACACCCTGCTTATGGAGCTGAAGCCAGCTGTGGCACTACCAGCACGGAACGGGCACGCCGGGGCTGGAAAGCCCAGTCTCCACTCCAGCACCTGGCTTCCTCCCTGACACGCATCCCTGCCGCTGGGATCAACAACGGCACGGGGGAATCCAGTCCTGCGAGCACGCACCGCCATGGCGGCACGCTCGTAAAGAGAGTTCAAAGCTATTCCTGTACTGCAGCACAGCCTAGCAACAGACCTGGCATAAATAACTTGCCTCATCGTTATGCAGGTAAGATATATAATTACAAACATCACTAAGACTGAGGAGAGAGAGAGAATCGTGATCTCGCTGGAGGAGGGGGAAGAGGCGCCTCTTGCCACACGTCAGTCATCAATTTCAGGATGCAGCTGAAAACCCTCAAAAAATAACGCCAGGAGAGGAATCGCGGGTGGCGGATTTCCAGCAGCAAAGCCCTGCTCTCTGCTGCCCGCGCACAGGCTCTCGTTGGAGGTTACGGAGACACAGCTAACTCCAACTTCACCCACACAGCGCTCTCAGTGACAGGCAGTCTTGGGGTCTTAATTGCCAAGCACTGCTTCTGTCTTATAATTGTTACTGTGATCGGAATTTCAAATAGTCCCAAAGCAGCAGTTAGTCAGAAAATCTATTTCTAGGAGATAGTCGATCTTTCCCCATCCCCCAAAGCCCATGGCCAGGACAGCTGGCTAATAGACTGAAGGAATTCATCGTAACCACTGGGGACCCAATTAGCAGAATGGAATTGGGTGAGGGGAAAGGGAAGAGGAAATGCCAGTTGTTTCCTACTTACCATATTGAACTGCTGCTGCAGCTTTTCGTTAGCATAGTTGATGCAGAACTGTTCAAAGCTGTTGATTTCAAATGTCTCAAATCTAAAATATGCAGATACTCAAAATTACTAGTGCAGTGAAAAAAAACAGATTAAATTACCCCATAACTTCAAATTCCCTCCCGCCAGTCAAATTCATTGCATTACTCCAGGCACAACCAACCACAATCAAGCAACGAAGCACACAGGGAAATGGCAAATTGCAGTACATGGGCAATTCAGTGATGCTCCCTCCTTAGGTAGGGATGAGGAACACAGGGAAGGGACTGATGTTCCTGAAGAGCGTGTTAGTTATCTTTTGTCCTCTCTTAGAAGTGCCACCCTGGAGGAACCATGAGATGACAGTTACACCCTTGTAACTTTCCCCAATGCAATACATAAAGGAACTACCAACAGCAAAAATCTGAAATCCCACTATAAATGTCAAACCTGAAAGGCAAGACAAAGATCTTAGATAGCATGTCAAAACCAAACACCTACTTCCTTCAGCTGGAATAAGCAGCTACCTTAGCATTTTTTTGTGTAATCCACGCAGCGCTACATGATAAAGACAAAGACGCTTTGCAGTAAGATAATTACGTAAGAGGTGTCATATCTCTGACAAAAAGACTCACCCATAAATGTCCAACACTCCAATGAAAGAATGCTGTTTTACAGTAGCGTGAAGGGCTTTGTTCACATGATCTACAATCCAGTTAAAGAGATTAGCATAGATATGTTTGGCAAGTGCATCTCTGGCATTGATGGCATGAAGTTTAGAAATTGGCTTGATGTAGGTTTCAGTGGCAGTTGCAAGCTTTCTATGGCAAAGCCAGTGGGCCATCTCTTCATACTCCACACCCATGAGGTCGCAGAAGATGGTGAGGGGTTCATGCTTGGGCTAATAAAAACAATCTCATTAGGTCTTGAAACAGTATTACCAATAGCATGCATGCAATCATGCAATCAGAAGAACTGCCTGCCTGCAGTGATCCAACAATAAGCAGCAACAGCATTTTCCTCAGCTCTTCCTCCTTCAAAATGTAACAAGTTCCCTACCCACTTATCACATTCACATCGCTGAAGTAAATTAGTGAATCACAGTTTCCCCAAAGGCATTTTACTATACTTGTGTTCACCAAGAAGCCCCACACAGGGAACCTGCAACCTTCGCAAAAATGAATCACCTAGCTTCGCAGGGATGGACGTGGTATTTTGAATTCTTGTAACTAACTGTCTCAGTTTTGAGTGTCTCGGCTAGAGGAATGCAGAGGACAGGACATCAGCTGTGTGCTGGGGACAGAATGGACTGTAGGTCCGGAGTGGTGCTCTCATCTGCTCACATACATCCATGGCAGGGAGTGACAGGCAATGGGGCATCGCAGCCCAAGCCAAGAATGAAGAGGAAGAAGTGTGGAAGGGCTTTAGTGCTCTGGTCTTATTTAACTCTGTATTTAACACAGTGTTTTCTCAGTGAATTCTGGAGACAAAGATTAAGAGACTGGAGCACATGAATGATGTTCTCTAACTCTCGAATTGGACTGTACAAGTGAAAACATTGACCTTTGTTTAACTGGTTAAATCAACTAGCAAGACTTGCACACTGAGATGGGTATATAAGATTTCTGCATAAAAATCTGTGCAGTGCATTCAGCACTCAATGATACTACACCTCGTGACTAACAAGCAAACCGATAGCTAGAAATCAAGGAGGACCAACCGGTCTTTCCTCCTAAGGAACTCCCCTAACACTACTTCCTCATCACATTCACTTTGCACCCGGTGGCTCAACAGCACGCTGACAAGCAGCGTCTTGACAAGGACAGATTACAGGGGACTGTTACTACACGCCCAGTAGCTTCAGGGTACATCAGCTTTATCTTTCTATTTCCATGTCCTGACTTCTCTGGGGCTTCTTCCAAACCTTACAGCATACAGGCCCCATGGCAGTGCTGTCACACCTCCAAAATCCAGTTAACTGAGCATGTCTTCGTTCAGTTCAGCCATACCACCTTAACTGGCTCACAAGACAACAATAAAGTAATAATAATAATGAACACTGCAGAAAAGAGAGTCACATAAGGGTTACTCAAGCTGACATTAAACAAACTGATTCATTCACGCAGCGCCATGCGGAGCCCTTCGCTGAGCTCCCTGAAGCACCGCCATTGCATCACCACACCAGTGCTTCCCAGGCAGAGCGGTCTGCATGGCGACAGAGCTCTGCAATGACATGGCTATTGTCAGAGAACAGCACAGCTCAGGTAGCGGATGCCGTTGAGCAGACATTCACTGCCGCCTGCTAGATTTTTACCATGGTCAGGATAGGATTGCACAGGAACTTGCAGCTTTGTACTCACTCATTCAGTGGCATCCCTGCATTGGAGATACCCATTACAACACAGGCTAGCTCATCATGTCCTGGGGCTCATCAGCTTTTCTACCTGTGATCATTAAATGACGCTTTCTTTGTAGTGAAAACCTTTTTAAGACACACCAAAGAGCCAGACTGTTGCTGTGGTTTCACAGCAGCTATCCGTTAGATCCCACGGACAGATGGTGTCAGACCAGGCACACTGATCATCTGTGGCCCCATGAAGGACCTATTGTCTCAGCTCCAGAAACTGCTACTGCAGATTCTTGAGAAAGCGACTGATAGTAAAATGAGAAAAAAAGCCTGCAACTGTTACTACTATTTGAAGAGAGAGAATGATGAAGGCTGTGTAGTCCAGCAGTAGACATTCGAAGAAAGGCAAAAAGGAGAAACTAGTCACTTGTGAATCCAAGGAAGAGAAGAGTGATGAGCCAGGTCTTTTTTGTTTCTCATCTCCAGAATACAGACTTCAGTAAGAAGCCTTGGTCCTCACTGAATGAGGAGTTTTTTTTCAGATCAGACTATGCAGTCCTCATTGCTGACCTCCGCAAAGGTTAAAAAAAGACTGATAAAACCACAACGCTTAGATGAGTCACTCGAATCATATCTGTATATCATATGCTCACATCTAGACATCCCAGAGGACTTTGCGAAGCATTTGCTTTGCAATTATTTAGGCCATTTTGGCATGTAATGTTAAAAAAACCCATCCTGCAAAGCATTTACTGTGGGCAGTGAACATGTTTATGTAGGAATATAAAGATCTAGATGCCTGCCCAGGACTTCAAAGCTAGCCTGTCTGGTAGACTTTTCTAGAACAGATTGATTACAGTTTTGAAATGAAACTAAGGCAGCAACCGTAACAATACAGAGAGTACTGTCTAAAGCCCCTAAACGGAGAAGAGTTGAATCCATCTGCAAAAAGAACTGTGAAAATGTTAACAAATTAGAAATAAACACATTGCTTGCATTTTTATATTGTTACTCTTTTTCAGAAGAGGTCCCTGCAAACAAGCAGAGGGCAGAACTGTCAGAGTAGAAACCGTGCCCTTCAGTTCATCTACTACTCACGGGAATAGTGCAGCTGTCAGAATCCCGAGATGCAAACTCCACATTGCCCAAGTGAAGGATGCCAGCAAGGATTCGAAAAATTCCCATCTGGTAGGAATCACTAATCCCTGAAAAACGATGAATAAAACATTTTGAACGGAGAGAGAAATAAAGAACCATGAGCTGCAGTTGATGAAAAATTTTATTAAGAAGAGAAAAATGGTGACCACTGTGTGTTTTTTTCAGAGACTTTGGTATTTGACAGTACTGCTTGGCTCCACTTCTATTAAAAACATTTTACAACCAGATGAAAAAAAAAAACAACACCTTTGAAATGAACCATTTTCAAAGTGCTTTGTCAGTGACCTCCAACACTGCTGCACCAAGGGAATCCACCATTTATGTTCATATAATGCCTGCTCCTCCTACACTAGATACGTGATTCCACTGCAACTTAAATACCTTCTTAATGCAATAAAAGTATCTCAGTCCCAAAGTTTATCAAACTCTCCTGTCTTTAAACACAACAGAGTATGAAGAAAATATACACAAATGTAGAAAACACTTGCTAATATATCAGATTTGGGATATGACTGTGTTTTACAAATTACCTAACAAAGTGCAGGCCTGCCTGGTGTTTAGCATTTCCTTAGCATCATCGACACCATCAATCACCGGGCTTCCACCTTGCTTTGTATAGTGAAAGTAATTTGCATTCCCTGTAAGAGACAAAACAAATCTTTTACACACACTGATGCAGAAATTCACAGCACATCTGTAAAGCAGTGTAATGATTAAGTTGCTCTTGGCAGAATCCATGACTTGAAATACATTAGTATATTTTTGCTTCATGGCTCACAGAACCCACTTATTCTGGAGAAAATTTTTTTCAAGATTTAACAGTGCAAATAAGTATTCTTAAGCTACCTGGTTCCTACAATAGGCCCTCAAGCATATTCTCTACCTAACCTTGGTTCAGACTTCCACACCCGTGGAATAATCAATTTGGAAGCAATTATTGTCCAAATCTCAGCCAACCACGCAAGTGGTAGGTGCAGAGTTGACAGCAGCAGTGCTTTGGAATTATGTGGCAGATATTATTATGCTATTATTGTATCAGGGTATTCAAAAAATTCTATTTTGCCCATTTTCTTCTTGTTTCTAATTTATGGTCTGGTTTAGTCTTATGAGTATCTGTAATCCAATCTGGCTGAGAAGTCATGGCTGGAGAACTGATAACTTCATACCACTCTGGCGACAGCACTGGGCTTCACTGGGAGAGCACTAGCTCTCCTGGGTACTGTGTAAATTCCTACGGTTTCAGTGGCCGTGCTTCCAACCACAGTAACAGACTCCTTTTCTTCTGATCTGCTAAGGTTTCAAGAATGCTGCAAGAGGAGTCTGCTAAATGGCTTCTTTAGTTATAATTACAGCAGCTCCCTTCTTTCCTGTGTCAGCAGATGTGAATCCTAAATGTGCAAGGATGGTGCAGAAGAGCAGAGAAACACTTTAAAACCAGAACGGTATTTCAGAAATCAGCACTGACAGGCTGTGCAGTTTTCCCACTATGAAGCTAACTTTTAAAAATATACAAGAAGCACTGAAATGTATACTGAATTTTAAAAATTATGAGGTGATTGCCTGTCCCAAGCTCATCATCATGCCTTTCTTTTACAAAGTACCAGTTCCTCTTAAATGAGAAACCCTCCCTTTATCAACATTTTAATTTGAAAAATGAAAAGTTTCACTTATCAATTTTGTGATCACCAGATTAGCAGAGATGGTAAAGTAATTGTTGGTAACAGCCCAAATAAAAGTATGCAGACGCAAAATAAGCTTTTCAGGTGCTTATACCAGACATGGTAAAATTTTCTAGTAGCTGGAGCCATGGAAAAAAAGGTTTTAAAGGACCATGAGAAGAGAATTTCACCCTTGCCACTGGAAAGCTACTCTGGAATCCAGGACATAGTAAGTCCTAGTGACTACAACTGCAGTGTATTAGAGTATGCTGAATAAACAAATCTGTTACTTTTGTTTTATCTAAAAACCACGAAGTCTGAGATGTGCCATTTTAGTTATTTTCAATATATTTTAGTATCTAAAGGTTTAAAAGTTTAGAATTTAAAAGCCAGCAATTCTTCTTTTGGTTCTATGGCTCAAAAAGCTCAGAGATGCTGCTTTGTACCTACAATTGCTCAACACAATGAATATGAATTTCATACCTAATTGTAGAGTTTTAAACTCAGGTAATGCTGCAGAGGCACAAAGTTGGTAAAAGATGTGGTAATTTCTCTCCTCTTCTGCCTTTAAAAAGGAAGTAATTGATTATTTTTCACAACTTAACAAGTGCCAGAAACATCCATGAGTAGAAAAGAATTACTATGTTTAATGCTTTCTCTAGCGTTACATTAAGAACACAGAAACCGTATGGAAAAAGGAAAGACAAATCAGCTCTATCATTTCCTTCTTGATTAATTTAATCCATTTTCAACAGCAAGAAGCATGCAGACATTTTAATTTCAAAAAAATGTATGATTTCACTTTTCAGAACTGCAGATTACTATTAAATATAGATCACGATTCTATGGGTGGGTGAAATGATCATACTTAAAAGCTTTTAATTTTCCAAAAATAACTAATACCATTCGCCTCAGCATTTATAGTAAGCTGGTGAAGGGAATATCTTTCTTGCCAAGGCAAAGCTCGAATTTTAAAATGAAGGACAAACACAGCTCAGAAGGTTGTGACTCATGACCAACACCAAAATTCTGAACTTAAGCTCTCTAAATTTCACAACTTCAAAACAAAACAAAACAAAAAGATTGTCTTCCAGGTAAAGCATGTGCAAGAAGTCTCTCTTATTTTTAAAATATACAACAGTACTTCATGTAACACCCCTACACAATGCAAACTGTAATTATTTGGTTTATACCTTTAGGCAGCCAGTCAAGGATAAGTCCATTTTTACTGAGCTCTAGACTATAAGGTAGACAAAGACGGAGGGGAAGTATGGGAGACAAAAAGTTTGCGGATCCGTTCAAGTATGAAATACCAAAATGAAGAGAGTTCAAGAAAGATGAAATTACATATTCTTATTTGCCTAAATAATGGCAATTAAGATTCATTCCTAATTATTGTGATAGCAGTGGGTTTTAACAGGAGGATGAAAGTGAGCTAAGATGGCAGCTTTACAAACCACAACAGAGAGCTCTCCTTGAGCATGACTGGTTTCTGCTATGTTTTGAAGCTCTATTCTATAATACTATGGTAAGCACAAACTCATATCTAGTAATGCACTGAAAGTATTTAATGTTTAAATACACAGCCTTTTCAATACACATTTAACAACTATGAATAATGAAGGGCTGACTTGGTTTTCCTTTTCTCCCCCTCCCCACATGTGCTATATTACAAGTACACTATTACAGCCATCTCTTAGGAGAGATAACTAATACCAGCAAGCAATAGCTTTTTTTTTTTTAGCATAGTCACACAAATATACAAGATGATTGTATCAGTATTACCTGAAACACCACTCTTGATTTTTCCAAGAGGTAAGTTCTCATGTTAGCACCAATGATTCGATACCTCTTATCAAAACCAATTTCAATGTATTTCCCAAAGCGACTGCTGTTGTCATTCCTTGTAGTTTTGGCATTTCCAATAGACTGAAAAAAGGGAATATTGTAAAGGTTAAACAGCTTTTAGAAATTATCAAATCTATTTAATCATCTACATGGCTCATAAACACTTAAGTACATTAATTTTTTCCTGGTTTCAAAATAATCACGAATTTAACAAAGAACAATCTCCGCCTGGCCAGCAAGTTACATCAAAATATGGTTATTTCACTAACACAAGATTGGGAGCTGATCTTCCTAGCAATGATTTCACTTCCATGTAGTCTAATTTTCCAGCTAAAAATCCTTTCTTGCTCTCTGAAGTCTTTTAAAAGGAATTTAGAATGCTTACATACACCCAGATTTCTTCTAAGGACTTAATAAATTATTTCATGTATGTATGTGTACAGATATACGTATAGTACTTGCAACCTCTGTAAGTCTACCTATCATAATAAACCCGTAGTCCAGCAAACAGTCCCTATGTTTTGTCTGGCTAGCAGTTTATTATTATTATAACTCTATAATCAACCACATTTCCAAACTACTTCTGCAAACATACCATTATAAAATATTTACTGTGTGCCTAAATATAATCTAAAAATTAACATGTACAGACTCACATCATTTACGTGAAACTGAATCCCTTCTGTAGCAGCTTGGTTACTGACTCAGAGACAGTCTTCAATGCTGCCCTACGTGCCTAACTTTCTTAGATTAATTCAATACAGCTTCATACACAATAAACAATATTTAATGTATTTCCTCTATAGTACATGGTCTTGGGATGCCCAGGGCAAATGATGACTGTGGTTCCTAAATGGTCTTGGTGCACCTCTGCCTTACCTCATCAGCGTTAGGATTCACCCTGCAACAGGTACCAGCTGGATATATCAGAATTCAAGGCATGCAAACCACAACATGCTGGACTTCATAGAAGAGCATTTTCTCTTCTCAATTAGATCATGTTTTAGACATCATACAGCAATTCACCTTCCAAAAAATCCTAAAGATATCTCTGTTATCAAAAGGAATGGAATTTGGAGTAATTCAGATACAGCACACTGCCTTTTATCGTATGCCACTGTATGTTATCAAGTACCTAGCTGACGTGCACCATAGCTAAAGAACACAGAGCTGTATCTATGTCCTAGTTTCCTAGTTCACATAGCCATTCATAGGAACTCTGTACTGAAATAAAACTTGGGAAAAACAAATGAGAGCAAATAGCAATGCTGAGTATCGGTATTCCAAACCTGTAAACAAAAGGCCAGTAAGTCAGGAAGGGTACAACTGGATACAGCACGGGAAGCAGGGATTAGACCCTCAGAAACCCCATTACAGCAGCAGCAGCACGCACGCCTGACTGAGCAGATGTCAAAGTGGGTATCAGATGAACAGCTGCTATAAAGGATGTACGAACAAATTGCATCTCTCCAGTTCTAAGAAACACCGAATTCATTCAAACTGAACATATTCAAACTGCATTTCCTGTGTTTCAAAATCATTGCTACTGTGATATACTTTGGTGGTGGTGGCAGCAATGTAATATTACAATATTTCCAGAAACCAATTACTACTTCAAAAGGTATTACTTATAAAAACAGTTAAGGAAGTCTTTGGTATTATATGATTGCTTACCAGAGTACATACTAAGCTGTACAATCTGCATAGCTACACAGGGTAACAAAGAATGAGTGGCAGGAAATTACATGTAAAGATGTTTTTTAAGACTTGACAACTTCTACATTTGCAATAGGAAAACTGTACATAGTTATTGACTACAAAACTAATTATTCAAATAGTTGCTAGAAATGTATAGTGGTCACTTGATATTACAGAGTATTTAGTAGGCAAAGATTATGTGAAATTCTGACACTAATGATGCTAGCTCATAAAATGCTGATGTTTAGGTTGTCCAAATAGATATCAAAACATAAAATGACCTTCTGCTCCTAAGATTTTACAATCAACTTAGCAAATGAGGAGTTTCCTCTTTCTAAAATGAATTACTCATTTTCTTCCTAATCTACATAGGTTAACTTGTGTTTCTGCTGATTTATCAACTGAAGAGTTCAAAATGTTAATTTTTCTATCCTAGAGTCTGTCTCAACGCCAGATTTCACAACACTCACTCTAAAGCTTATTTAAAGTTCAAGTGTTTGAAGTCAAAAGGATAACTTTCATCCAATTATAACAACGGTTAAAATGATTGACATTTTAGATATACCCAGGTTCATGAAATTGCTGTTATCCCTAGAAAATAAAAATAAAGCACCACCATTGCTTTTTAGTGGATTAAAAAAGGTATGGATAGAAAGTTCATTTCTAGTTCTCACTTTAAATTTCCTTGCTTTGGAAATTAAATCAGACAATTAGTGGTGAGCTGATGGCCACTGGCTGGGAGGTGGGGTCCAAGGAGTGAGAAAGAAGGTTGTTTGGTTTAGGCTTTGAGACCAAACAAAAGAAGTGGTGCAGGGAAACCTGCAGCCAGTTTGCATTTCACCCAGCAAACAAATAGCAAACTGCACACCCATCCTGCAGAGTCTCTTACCGTAGCTGTCACTCAGCAGACAGGCGGTGAGGACGCGGCCGCCTGCCTGGCACCAGGTACCACCTCTGTGGCATGCACGGGAAGGCAGAAGAGGCAATCAGCACCCGTGGTCCTGTTAGCCACCCAACGAATCTCAACGTGGCCAAGAGTGCTACGACACTTACTGCAAACGCTGGAGCAGTGAAAGGGGTACTCTGGGATTAGCTCACACGTGCAAAACTGCCATTGCTCCCCAGGGCCCAGGCTGCTGCCGCTGGGGTAGGTACAGCTCAAGACAAGGCTCAGCTCCCCTGGCTTCCTCCCATAGCTGGACATTTGGATCCCCCAACAGCAGAGCCCACTGCTCATCATGGCACCACTTGTTTTATCCCACAAGAGAGTTTCAAAAAAACACCACACAGCACCACAAACCAGGCACAATTACCTTGTGACAGAACACAAACTGTGATGGGGCAGTATAGTTTGAGTATCATGAACTCCTCATGCCAGGAGGAAAGAAGGAATAAAACATAGTTCATTTTTAAAAATACCTGAGAAAGAAAACAATGGCAGCATTTTGTATTTCACATTTCACTGCGTGCACTCCATTTACTCATGCCTATCCACTAATACTTCACGCTATTGCATAGAGATGCTAAACATTTACCAAGGCATCAGTCATCCTAAGCATTTTCTTAGGTTGTCCATAGGCGTGTGCATGTGCCTGCCTATGGACAGTGCTACTTCTCTCAAGGAACTCCCCCAAGACTGTTTCTCTCTGGTGAATCATTTCTTACCATAGTTCCTCAACTTCAGCTACAACCTGAATCTACACAAAGGCAAAGACACAAAAAACAATTCAGATGAGCCTAAGAAATGTTTTCTGCTTGGCCACAACATCAGAATTACAGCATCTCCTGAGCTTCCCAGAGAACAGAGAACCTGAAACAGGAGGGAACTGCAGATGTTATGTCACAGCCTATTGCCAGCACCTGTGCTCCCAAGCCAGTGGCCCTGGGACTTGACTACAGTTAGTTACACAAATTTCCAGAATTGAAACATTAGTCTGAGCTAATTGTAGAAAAAATACATCTTCTGTCGTGCTTTTCCCCTCTGAAAGAAACTGCGTGCATCTCATGTAACTTTGCTTTCTCAATCTATCTTCCCTAATCACATTTCCTAAAACTGAACATTTGCTTTACTCAACAACTCTCTTCACTTCAAAGTATAATCCACCTGCCCCCACTGTGTGATGTATAAGTTCAGTGGGTAAGACCAGAAGTTTTAATCCTCTTTGGAATTTTACACACAAAACCAGTCTTCTGCACTTGCATTTGGCCAGCGATCTGGGAACTACCAGTTTTGCAAAGCTGAATAGATTTAAAGCAGTATTCATATAAAAATTACTTTGTTATGTGAAATACATTAACAATACTGAAACATTACCTCCCGTCTTCTCTCAACCTTTCACCTTCGCAACCTTACACAAAATGATGCCTAAAGCACCTCCCGGTAAATGGATTAAAACCAAAATTTTAAAATACATATATTCTAGGTTGTTTGATCCTTAAAAAAAGTATGGGCTGCTCGCTGTATTGAATGCTTATGTTAGCCCCAAAATAGTAACTGCAGCTGGAGGGTGGGGGTTAGTGCAGTAGCTGTCTTACCTCCATGATGGGGTTGGAGGCCAAGACTTTCTCCTCAACATTGGCTTCACTGGCGGATCCACTGACCGTAGCAAAGTACCTCATGGCATACTTAGCAGAGACGGTCTTTCCGGCTCCAGATTCCCCACTGACAATGATTGACTGATTTCGCTCATCTCTGAAACACAAACACATGTTAATTACCAGCTGTTCTCTCAAGGACACTTATTTTTTGTGCCCCCACTTGGCAACAACACTTCCACCATAAACGTCAGCAATACAGTGATAATGTAAATGCATGTGGCAGAAACAAGGCTGTTAGTGACCAAGCTGCCTAATGGCTGATTGGACTGCCTGCGACCAGGATGCTCAGTCAGGATTGATGCTGCAGCCACAGTCCAGCCAGCCAGCAGAGCTGCTCTAGAGAACCTGGCTACAGTAAAGTACCTGTTACCACTATTCACTACATGCTTCTGCAGCTACTGCTATCCAGAGTCCCTGGTAAAGTGCTCCACTAAATTATCAGTGCTCATTAGTAAAGATCATTAATGCCCTCTTGCAGATAGAGAAATCAACAGCAGAGTTAACAACAGAAACCTTTTGTCCTTCTGATTTAATCACCAGCTTTTCCCAGAATTTTTCTGAATCTGAAAAATTCAAGCAGGGCTGTTCAGGACACAAATAGTAGCTCTGGAGTGAAGACGATCCCTTTGTTGTGAAGTAAGTTCTTCTCATTTAAAAAAAATAATCTCCATTTGCTACTAAAGTGATTTTCTTCCATCTCAAAGGGGGGTCTATCCATAAACCCCAACTGTATGACTAATAAACACACTACAAAATAACAAGGATAGAAATTAGCATTGGTATAGCCTGAATCTTTTAAAATAAAGACCATACATGCTTTATACAGTATTTTGTTTTTCCAAAGCAAAAGAAGTTTAAAGGAATGATGTTTCAAAACACTCCTACGAGCTGGGTGAGCTTAACTCTATCCTACATACTGGAAAGTAGAGAAAGAAGGAATAAAATTTTACCCCAAAGATTTTCAGAGCTGGGGCTGGAACATAGAAAGTACGACCAAGCCCCTGACCAGGCTGCACTTAGAGCACAGTAACTGTGAATGAAACTTCAGGCACGCACATGTTTGGGCAGGAGATATACAGTCTGCACAGCCTCCAAACGCCTGCTGAGGCCACCAGTAAATGCTGGGCAGGGGAAGCAAAGAAATATGCATGGAAAAACTATTTGTGGTTTCTGTAAAAAAGCTGCTGATGAAATTATTAAGCTAAATTACAGATCATGTTGTTACTCTCAAGCTGTTACCTATCTTCAAAAACATCCCCAAGCCCCCAGATAAGATCATGACTCCAGCATCTACTTTGTGTTGCACAAAGACATAGGCTAAAGGAGCCACTGGCTATGTCATGCATCTCCAGGAGAGCCAAGGTGGGATTCCTTTAACCAAATGAAGGCATCGGCGGAAGCAGGTTTTCCACATTTTGGTAAAAGGAAATTACTTTAAATGGTTGGCTGCTGGTTTAAATTTAATAGCAAAGCATTAAGAATATCAAAGCAGCCTAATTTTACGTTCTCAACTTCCATCTAACACATGCGATAGGTGCGAATGACTACAGCACAGTTCACACATTCAGATACACCAAGCTGTCAGTCTCAGTGGGAAAGTTGTGGGAAAGCATAACTGTCTAGCTTGATACCAGGTTGTGTGAAGTCCATGTTACGTAGACTGAACCGCCAGAGATACCAGCCTCGGCCACAGGAATATAAAAACACCTGCCCATGAGACCCTTCCTTACAGCCATCAGGCCTGCTGCGCGCACTCCTGAGGGAGGTCTGTGGTGCTGGGATGGCTTGTGGTGGCAATGAAGATTTCCAGCTGGGAAAGGAAGAAGAAACACTCTTGCTTCTTCCCCATTCCGCCCTCCCTGAGTCCACTGGCAGTAGACAGACATGCATGAGGGACAGCCTGTAGCTCTGCACGTCAGGAGGTGGTGCAAGTTGGGTGACGGCTCCCGTTCAAAAAGAGCAGCGGATGGACATGGGAGAAGTCCAGCCAAAGACCTAAATGGGACAACCAAAACCAAACAATTCTCCTCTCACACAGACAGTTCCTGCAGTGAGTCACAGAGAACAAGTTCTTCATAGGACAGGCAGTGCTCGCTCTTTATTCCTCCACTGCTCTTTCACATAGAAAAAACCCCAACCATACCATTATAAAATATGAAACTTCTGGTCTGATTTCAGGAGCTGCCTAACACAGGAGATGGGCAATGACATAACAAGCTCTTCAGAGCTGTAGAACACCAGCCGTTTCATGTATTAAATATCATTAAATATATGAAGACTCATGAAGCTCCAGTCCTATGAAATGTATCTTCTGATGATTAAGCTTATTTTTAGCTTAGTTCCCATACAGAAGGCTTTCAGAAAACAAAGTAATGCAACCTAAGTACTACAGACTTCTGCCAAAACTGTCAACAAAACCTAACTCTGTTGCCAAGAGAGGAACATGGAAATAAAGGCGTCTTATTGTAACTGTCACATCCCTGAAGGACACGTGTGTGAGTGTGGCAAGCGCACACTGGTTTTGCAGTCCCTAGTCCCTCCTCGGGAGCTTAGGAGTGGTAGGAAACACTAAGCTCTTCAGAGCGCTGCAGAGGAGGGAGTTCCATGTTTTCAAAGACAGTAATGAAAAAATGAGGTTGAAATAATTTCTCCTTAAGAATACTGTTGCCAATTAGCTTAGAGTTTCCTTCCCCCGCGTCATAAGATACGAAGATGTACTCTTCTCCTTAGCACTCATTCATGTGCTCAGGAATAAGGGATCCGTTATTATATTACTGTATAAGTACATATACACATACACTTCTCATAAATTCGCCTAGAAAAGATATGGCTGGCTCACTGTGAGCTGAAAACGTTGCTGCCATCTCTTCTGCAATGAATATTTGTGTTTGCGGCAGCTACAGCACTCATGAGAAACAAAGGGCTCGCTCATTGTCTGCAGCGGAGTCCTCTCGCGTCGCCCCGCCAGCGCTCCATCCATGCTCAGAGCCGCTCTTGTCTTCGGAAGTACATCAGTCCATTGTTTTGCTTTAACACACTGGAGCGACCATCCTCTAGCATATTATTCTTTCTGCTTTTTGGCAGAGAGAAAGGAAAAGACAAAAAACCAGCCAAGATCACACTCAACATTTGAAGAAGGAGAAAGGACAGTGTAACGTAACACCCCAAACGCAACAACAGCAGGGGATGAGCTGTTACTGCCACAACCCCAGGAAGACCTGGCACATGGACGTCCTACCACAGGCAGCAAGACACTTAGTCTTTCAAGAAGGAGGGTGGGGTAGCCCTGCCAGGCAGCCATGTCAGCTCAGCAGAGGGCTCTTTGATGTCATTAAACTTTAAAGAAACAAAATGCCACACTGGAAAGAAAATAACAAGTTAAATAGAATCAAAATACCTTGGGCAGTGCATGAAATGTGCTGAGAATTATTTTTAAAGGCTTGGTATAAGCAACGGTCAGTCTAAAATATAACCTCCGCTTATGCCACATGAAATTTTCATAATCAGGCTGCATTAAAAACAAAACAAAACAACAAAACCACAAACCAAAACAAAGGAAAAAAATCCCCAGAAAACACAAGTAACAACACCCCGAGTTCTTTCTCAGGTATAAATAAGACTTTTGAGTTATTTTTCGCTAAATCATTAGCCCCCAACCTTTGACCTGACATTCTGAGCACTTAACATGCCACCAGTCAGGAAAAAAGCTATAATTAAAACTTCCAGCCAATGAAACAAGGAAGTAGGGCAACAGCACTGTGTGTGACACCACTGTGCAGCCTGATGCCACAACCCGTTATCTATGCAATGCTTCTTCATCTTCTTGGAGCTTTTTCTCTGAAGAAAGCACATAATTAGGCAATTTTAAAATTAAGATTACTTCTGAATGGAGGGAAGATTTTAATTCTGCTTTTACAAAGAGAAATGAGGGAAAGCAAGCTGGGAGACAAGAAAGTGAAGGAGTCCTCTTTCACCCAAAGGTGGATAATGATCACATCCTAGGATACAGAACTATGTTACAGTGATATGATACTAAGCCAAATTATCTTGAGAAAGAAGTGTTTAACCCCAGCAGACTGAAACAGATCGACTGGGAGCAGTTTACCATTCACAGAAACACAAAGTATTATGTTCAGGCATCGGTCAGGATCACATTCAGCTTTTGCCATTTCTGAACTGTGCAGAAGAATAAAGGAACAACAAAACCAAAATAAAACTTCAGTTTTAAGATGATAGGCCCAGACATTTCACAAGCTCAGATGTGACATGATAGGCTGAGACTGCTGCAGTAGCAGGGGACCTGATTCAGAAATCTTCCATATCCATTCTCTCAGGCCTATGCTTTAAGAGTCACGTGAAGGTACCAACTATTTCTTGCCAAATAAAAGAACCGTAACACACTATGGAATAAGTAACTGGTAATTTAAAATAGTGTTATCTATCACAGAAATAATGCTGATGTCTAATTTTGAAAGATAACAGTCAGATGCTGCATCCAAGCCATACAGAACTCCACTCCTTATGACAAGTAATGGCCACAGAATGAGCAATAAATGTCACTAATTTTTCATATCATAATTCTGGTAAAGGACAGAAACAGATTTGTGCATAGGCTGGTGAATTTTAAAGACAATTTTGCTTTACCTACAAAATTCCATCGACAGGCAATATGTTTATAAGGAAATTCACTGTCAGAGTGCCAAAACAGAAGAGATGTAGACTTACCTAACTCCTGGAAACTTGAGATTACAACCTACATTCCAGCAGGGTTTTTTTTTATACTTTGAAAAACCATTGCAACATTCAACACTGATGACAGCTTCTGCTCAAAGGAGGTTCAGCGTTGGGGAAAAAAAGAGTGCTACAAACTGACTTGAGATACCTTGCATGCAAAAAAGGGTTTTGCAGAATATGAATGAAATGACAATGCACAAGAAACTAGAAAGTGGTTTAAAAAACAAATCTTGTTTTCAAGATGTGAAAAAAAACCCCTTTGTTGAGGATGTGCATATATCTTAATGCAATACTTTTAATAGCATTGACGACTACTAATTTAAATTCTTTATTTCATAGAAATCTAAGGCAGATGCTTTCAGAAGGGCTCAGAATGGCGGAAACACTACTCCCATGGGGTCACAGCTGTCAGCTTCAGTGGAAGCAAGAGCAAGACTGTCACTGGGCACCTTCAATGTGTACAGAGTGCTGCAACAACACTGACTAATCACTGATAGCTGTCATTATCTAAGGCAGCTTTTAACAACTTCAGTTGACCAATGGAAAAACTGAGGCAAAAAAGAAAAAAAGGTGCAAGAAATTAAACATTAAAGTTACTAATATTAAAGGCAGAGTTGTCAATTTTCAAACAATTTTCATTTCTGAAGATCATTACACCCACTGGTTCTCTCAAAAACCGAAACAGCTTACTGCATCACAGCCATTATTTCCATAGCAAACTGTCCAAACAGATCACGATAATCAAGACATATAGACTGAAAAATCCCTACAGAAATCTTTGTTTACCTTCTTCCTCTATACCAATAGAAAATCCCTCTCTGAAGCAGGAACACTAAAACAGTTAAAAACCTACCCATCAATAAGCGTTTCAGAAGGGATTAAAAAAACCCAGAGCTATTCAATTTAATCATCAAAGCACAACATTGGTTTTGTGTTTTTCTGCTTCCTATGACTGATGCATCGGATGTGTCACTTGATCTTGTCTTTCAGACTCATGACTCCACAGCAAATAACGTCAAATAGACGTAGATAAGCACACACACCACAAAAACATCAGCCTGGGAAAACAAACGAAAGGAATACAGAATTATTGACATCAGCCTCAATATTTGTATCAATCTATCCATACCCAAGCCACCAGCATCTCTACCTGGCAAAAGTGTATCATTAGCTGCTGATTTTAAAAGATTCTGACATGGACTTTGAAATGCTTGCCTGTGATGAACTACTTCAAAGTTGAGTTGTCTCAATGCCATATAACATAGATGAGATTGGCAGAAAAGATCAGAGTGAGATATCCTTAATATAAAATGAAGAGACTAAATAACAGGGCAATTTGATGAGAAGAACATTAGTACTTACTTTGCCTTTGATCCTAAATCATCTACGTTTGTTAACCTTGAGGACACTGCCACAGTGCTGATGTTTTCAAGGAAGCTTCTTGTCAGGACAGTTTGAAGGCCGCCACCCTCAGGACATCTTTGCCCCTCACTGCTCCAGTGCAAAGAGGTTTAATTAAATCTACTGCTTTTTTTTTTTTTTTTTTTGGTGGAGTTGCTCCTGGTTTCTTCTTTTCTTTTGGAATAACAGGTTTAGGTTATGGCTAAGGGCACCAACCCCATAGCATATGACAGTTTCATTTTTTTTATTTAAATCAAAACAGCACAAACTGCTGCTAAAGGCCTGATCCTGTGATCTTCAAACATTGAAATCTCCTACTGCTTCAATGCAAGAACAAGAACACAATAAATAGTTTTTATTTAATCTAGCAGTGACAGTCTGGTCTGCTTTATCTCACTGCTGTTCCTCTCCTGCAATTCTGGGGTAATAAGGTAGACTTGTAAGCCTGAAATTGCTTTACATTTTCAAACCAGTAAATTTTGAATGATCAAAGAACCCAACACAAACTCACACGGAAAGAACCTGTGACTCAGGGAACATTTGGGATAGGTCCCGCTCTCAGCATACACACATAATTACTATTAACATCAATGTGTGTTGTGCCCATTAAAGGCAGAAAAGGCACTAAGTGATATGCCATTCTACAGCTGAATTACAGCAGCAGGAAAACCAACCCAAGAAAATGACTTAAAAACTAATGACATTGCTGAAAGGTCAGATGGGATTCATTCTGAAATGCTGGCATGTTTGAAATCTTGCTGTACTTCCATTAGCTGCAGCTACTCTGAGAGCCACAGGATTAACCAGGGACCAACACAAACCTAGTTTAAGCTAAGTGACATGTTTTCTGCCCTGCGCCTGTAAAGCAGATTTCCAAACCGTGCAAGGATACACATACATACACGCAGCTGACATGATTAAGTGTCTCCAGCAATGCAAACATAACTCTGACCTAAGTAAGCATCCTATTTGTTGCAATCTCTCAGTGCCCCTGTTGCATATTTGTGACAGCGTATGACCAAAAAAAACCTGCAGTATCTACAGTCAGAACATTCACGCATCTTTGTATCTGAGGGCATGACTAAACAAATCTGTTTAATACAGATCAGTTTCCCCCAGTGAGGCAGCTGTAACAACAAGAGCACAGAAAGTTTTACCAAATAACTTCTTCATCGATAAGATGAAATAAAAGAAGTTTACACAATGCAGTGAAAATAAAAGCAGTGTGGAAGCACTATCATTGTAACAGCTTTATCGATGTTTCCAAATAACTTCGAAGTCTTGACGACTAGAGGAATACATCTCATACTCCACCCGTTCCAAACAGCTTATTCAGTCTTGGAATAAACACCCACAGTAAAAGATTTTAAACTCCTTTCTTGTGAAATCCATTGGCTTTCATCAGGTATCAATATAAAGTTAAGAGTTCTCTGTAGTATCGAATATTTTGTGACCTTCACAGAAAGCAGCTTGATTAACTTATTAAGAAATTTAGGAAGGAACTTCCCAGCCGCAGAAGGCCAGCCCCAGCAGGCTAAAGGGAGTGCTGTCTTCAAGGGACTGGGCACCTTCTAACACAGGAAAGAGGATGCATAGCAGACGAATGCAGGCAAAGGAATAAAGCAACAGAAGGACAAATCCGTAGTATAAGATGAAATGATAAGGCTTTGTACACCTCATCTGAAGGCTCACTAAATAGGTCTGGCTTCAATAAATGCTGAAAGAAATAGTGTTTCTTAAAAACACCAGTGATTGTAAACTTGAAACCAAAATACATCCATTTTTTTTTTCCCTAGAACACTCTTCGGTTTTCAGCACGAAATGTGGTTTGGGAGAGATACAAGGATTTTTTTTGCAGAGCTCACCAGCCTGTGCTCTCCCCAACACCTGCCCTTCCCAGTCCCCCGTCAGGGTAGGTCCCAGGTTCACTCTTCCAGCAATCGTGCACCACTTTTGTGCGACGCTTCCATTGTTACAGTTACTTGCTTTTCTAAAAGACCAAACCTGCTTTTTACCCTTGCCCTAAAATGAAAGGCAGCTGTAAAACCCACCAGTCGTGGAAGGTTTAACACAAGTCAGTGCAATATATTTAGCTTCACCTTTGCCTAAGTGCGGTGTTGTGTGGCAGTAAACAAGGCTGTAGATGTTTAGCAGCACTTGTTCACTGCAAAGGCCTTTGAAATTCAGGCCAGGGTGTGCAGCATCTGTTAGGAGCCATTATAAAAATTGGCAACTCTACAAACCCAGGATTTGCTTTTCAAGTAGAAATAATTTAACTGTTCAATAAATAAATAAGAAAGAATTCATTCAGCAGTTTTCTAATGCTCTCAGACCCATCGAGAGCAGCCGCAGCCAAGTCCGGGCAGCCTTCCTGTGACCTCTCTCATTGAGGGCAGGAGGCAGCATCTTGCCCTTCATCAACCTTCTGAACAAACTATTTTAATCACAAAGTTCTTTGCAGCCCTAAATAAGTTCTGTTATCCCCTGTTTCTGGATTTGGCTCTTGGCCTTCTTAGCATGGGAAAGCACCCCCATTTTGTCCTCTTACTTTCCAACTGCTTCCTACAGCCCACATAAAGCAAGCGTATTTTTCTATTCTCTCTGCATAGCTGCTGAGCCCCTCTCCCCAGGAGGTCACCTTCCTCTGAAGAAGTCTCTCCTGCAGCCAGGCAGCGCCAATAAGTGCCACCCCAGCACTCTACCCTCACCTGTACTGCAGGAAACCCTTCTCCCTCATTTTTAGAGTTTCCTCCTTGCAGTGCTCCTTTGCACAGGTGGGCACAGCCTCTTCGTCCCCACAGAGCCACGTCATCCGGCGTTCCCAGTGCCAAAGCCTCCAAATTCACTTGTATTGGCACATCCCAAAAGGTGCGGCCTGACACAGACAATTATTTTTTCCACCCTCAAAGGGCTGTTGTGTGGATTAACAAGGTAACTTCTGTAAAACACCCAGAATGTGCAAAGTGCTATGTAAGCACTAAGGATTATTATTAGAGGCTAAAGTGCTTTGAACCATTCTGTGGCGATGTGACTGGGTGGGGGGGCAGGGGGCAGACAAAAGAAAAAGTGAGTTCTAGTGCTGTGCCCCAGGAGCAAGTGTCACTTCGTGCACAGAACAGCAGCCCCATTCCTCGGTCTGTTCCACCTGCACACCCTGCACCCATCGGTTTATTTTGACTATCTGGATCTAACATGCTCTGACCTGACGCATCCCAGTCTTCACAGATGCCACGCATTAAAAATTCAGAGATGCATTCAGCTGCACCTTGAGTCACAACAATGGCTCCCAACTAAGCAGTAAATTAATTCTCTGTAAAATCATTCCTTTTTAATAGGCATGGAACACTAGCCCAACAAACCATGTTCTTTAACCACATTTCTAAATATATTTCCAGTTTAACCCTTTTTTTAAACCTAACAGCATTTCTCACTGACATCTTCTTTAGCCGCCAGAGAAAAGAGGATATTCTGAGCACAGGACCAGGGGCTGAAAGCTCAGCACCTGGGTCCAACTCTGGGCTGATCCAGGCATGGCCATAGCACACCATCTCTGCCTTACCTGTCTTCTCTACAAGCAGAAATCGATATACCAGTATTAGAGGAGACAGACTTTGGTGAATGCTTGTAAAGTGCCTGGAAAACACGAAGCCTTCCGTGAAAGCAAACGTTATTATGCAATGTATGTTACCTGGCACAGACATCCCTTAACACTGCAGGAAATGAAGGCATGCAAAATATAGCATGTTCATTTTTGTGTATTGAAAACAAATTAGCTTTAGGAGATTGTTACCAGGAAACCCATTTAACTGCTGCGCTATCAATTACATACTCTATTCTCACGTATTTTGTTGCCAAGCTGGTGCGATCAAGTCATCAGACACTGGATCAGGATTTTTGATTCAGGGACTCTATGCTCTGCTTCTGCTGCCTTGGTGAACTCGCCAAAGTTGCTCTCCCACTCCCCATGTCTGTTTCAACTTATAAAATGGAAATAATGACACTGATCTCTTCTGTAGAGGACTTTGAGATCTGCTTCTGGAAAGTGCCAAACGAAGGTGAAATATTACTATTATACATAACTTGAATTCTCTTGAGTCTGTTCCAGCTGCAAACTCAGCCACTCCAAAACACCTCAAGTTCTTAAGCATCTTTTGGTGCTCTTCAACAACAGCTTGATAAAAACATTCTGCAATACTCTCAAAACCAGCAGATGTACTTTTTTTTTTTTTAAAATTAACAAATCGCACCACTTGCCATTTTAATTGTATCCAGGAGACACAGCTCTTGACTGTAAAAATGGCAAAAGGTGAAAAGATAATGAATTGATGGTAGCATCTCTCGACACATACAAATGAAGAAAACTGAGGTCAGCACATGCTGCAAAATCATGACAGATTGCACTCCAGAGGAGCACAAAGATGAGCCAGCACTATGCAACTGATTTATCCAGGGATTACTCAGAGGTCACTCCTGCAATAGTTTAGGAAAGCTCATTGCTTAGCTACCAGCAGGACACCTCACATGAACTCTAGCATCCAGCTACGACCACACTTAACCCTTTTGTTGCCTAAAAAGTCACTGCTCTGACAAGTAGGTCTCTGATGTTACTTCGATTACCCCATCTGCTGTCTTGTACCTGTAACATCACAAATGTCAGTCCCAAAGTGTAAGAGACTATTCCAAAATCACCTGTTCTCACCAGAAAGAAGAATTTCCCTTTTCATTCTAATTTTAACAACAAAGCCTGAGAAGTACCCCCTCTTTTCAAGGTAAGCATTTCATTTAAAAAGTCGTATGTCAAAGCCATAAGTCAAAGAAGGCCCTTGTATGTTTGTACAGTGCCCACCACAGCAGGCTCTCATTTCGTAAGTGGATGCAGATCCATGACGGGTTGTTAATCATCCCCCTTCTGACTTCTGCTAGGGGAGAATACAGTATCCATTTATCAGACACTTGGAAGCAAAGCAGCAGCTGATCACACGTGCATTTTTATAAGAGGACATCATCTTGGGATGCCTGGGATAACTGGAGACTGTCAGTCAAGGTGCTTTCAAAACACCTACTCAACAGCTCACCAAGCTCCTTTTGAACAAAAAGTGATAGAAAAAAATCTTCCTGTAGCTGAGAGCCATCAGACACATGCCAAACATCTGACAAAACAGAGAGACAGCCTGCTTATTAAAGGTAATTTAATGAAAAAGATACACACTAACATTGAATAATTTATTACACTTTGTCCAAACAGAAAAAGCAAAACTTTGGAGAATGATGTTTTAAACACTGTTGCTTTCCATCCTAGTATTCATTGAGTTTTATAGGGATCTAATCAGTATGTAATGCTGTTTGCAGATGTTACTTTCAACCTGCACTTTGCTAGACAACTTCACTAATTAATTAGAAGGAAATCTCCAAGTTAATTTATTAAATTGAAAAGCACTGAACTCTGCTGTGTTTGTCATCAACCACAAGTAGAATGGAACAAACCAGACCAACAAAGTGCTGATAAAAAAAACATTATCTTAATTACTGCAATATACCCTTACCAGGCAGGCGAAAGGTTCCCGTTTAGGAGCGATTTAGAACTTCTTTCTCTAATAGCATTAGGAAACTGATAACCATAAGTCTCATACATTAATGCAATTCTTAACAGTTTCAAGAGCATAATCATCAACATCTCTTATTGCAAACCATACAGTTAAAAACGGAGGCTTCTACTGAATATTACAAAGAAAACGAGCTGCACCTACTAACGGTTATGATTCCTACTAAAGCTGTAATGCTTTCCAGGGGGAAAAAAAAAAATCAAATACTTGGCAACTGATGCTTTTCTTCAGTTTTCATAGCTACCACAGAGGGGTAACTGTGAAGACTGAACAACTTTTTTGCTAATAATTTGGAAAAGCTGACTTACAAAAGTGGTATGCGTTGCAGTTCAAAGGGTTCAACACATGCAAACACCCACATGTTGACATTGTGGCTTGTATTTGAGACAAAAATAAGTTCTTCAATAATCATTTACTTACTTTTAAATCATTCATCTGCCTTAAACATTGTCCTGAACCTGTATACGTTTACTCAAATGAAGCAAGCTATCGACGAACAATACATTGCCTATCTGTGAGAAGAGAGAGACCTCTGAGTGCAGGTCCCAGCTCTTTCCAAAAGCACAGCTTGTTACAGCGGTTCCTGCAGAACCACAGCAGCCTCCAAACCCCTCTGCACAAAAGCCCTGTGGCCAGGAGAGCCCCTTGGACAGGTCCCCATCCGACCGATCCTGCTCCCTCCCACTGGGACACGTTCATGGGTGGATCTCCTGCTGCTCGGACGGAGGAAAAGATCAGCTCTGGAACCCTCACACCTGCGGTCTGGAGGATCATACAACCCAAACCAATAACGTTATTGGTAAGTATGAGGCGTACGTAACCCGAAGTCTAACACAATTTAAATGCAGTTGTAAAACTAGTTCATTGCTTATTTTGGGCACAGCAGAGGAAAGGTGTTGGAAATGAAGCTGTCAGTCTGTGCAGAGGAGCTGTAGGGGATGGAGAGAGAAAAGGAAAAAGGCACAGAGATACAGATGAGACGGGGGGAACAGAAGGAGAGAGCAGGGGCACAGGGAAGGAAAAAAAAAGGAAAAGAAATCATAATCCAAAATGAGATTAGTCTTAAAAGAGCTGTGCACATTTTCCTGTGCTGAAAAAGACAAGATGCTATTGAGCAAACAGTAATCACATATTTGATTGTCAGCTACGGGTAAAGACAAGCCATATTTCTTTCACTAACTCTCCACCGGAAACTGGTGACAGAACTGCTGTTGAAAGAGGAAATAATGGATGCCCAAATGGGCACACCACTTCACAGCCCACACATACCACACCATTTGGCTCACTCTATGCAGGAAATTTCACATGCAAAGATATCTTTATGTGTTGCTTTATACTGCAATTAACCCCAAGCAGTTGCTGAATGTCACTTCTCGCGCACAAGCCAGATGTGAGCTCCATCCCTGTCATTCCAGCAATCAATATTTTTGCACTGTATTTTTTCTGAAGACACAATGCAAATATTTAGTGTACAATCACTAGCTTTCCTGATTGCTGTCATGGGGCATTTTCTATGGCTGAAGAAGACCACAGAGATCATTTAGTTACAACCATGCACACAGAAAGGGTTTCTCACCTACAGCAGATGGAGTAATGAAGATGGCAAGAAAAAATTCTAAATTCTAAATCATTAAATTATAAGTTAACAAGAAGACTTAAGGAGTAAATATTTAGAAGAGCTCAGAGCTCACTGAAGCCTTATGGATAGGAGCATCATGACCAATTATTCCAGTGATCATTTAAACATTGAGTTAGGAAAGATTAGAAACAACAGAAAAATAAATCTCACCAATTACATGCATAAATGCAGACTAATGCCATATGAGTAGCTACCATATGAATATTCAATGCAATTATTAAAGCGATAATGAAATAGAATCATAAAATCATAGAATCGTTTAGGTTGGAAAAG